TTTGCCCCACTGTATTTAGATTGAAATATAAGATGGGAAAGACCAGGGTCTACACTGCTACTCAGACAGGTACTCCAGTGGGTGAACATAGCCCAGGTGTTATCTTTTGGGCTAAAACTTAGCTTGACATACTTTGTAGAAGTGTTGTGAAGATAAATATGAGAAAAGGCTATGTTGGGGAAATAGCATGATGAAATGTAATAGGAGCAGGGGATGAGACAGAAATAGTGATAGTTTTAGATAACATTGAAAGTCAGGTGGTTCAAGATCATGAGAGGTCTGTATACCTGACGTCGTAAAGCTTTAACAGAGCTGTTATATCTTGCAAACTGCTTTCTTGTAAAGCTAAGGGCATTACCTGCCAATGTGCTTAATCTAATATAGAAAGAATTCTGGTAAATTTATGGGGTGTTTTGCTGTGTTTATCGCAGCACATTCTTTCCCTGAACTACTTATTCTTACACAAGCTCAGCAAAGAAATCTACCCTAAATCATATGGCTATCTGCCTAGCACAGAAATCTCTTGAATTGTGCAATGATTTCTTTTTCTAATTAAATAGAAATTATGGTATACAAGTTCCTAAACTGCCTTCATGAATGCATGCCTGGATGAACAGATAATTTTTTCACAATCAAGCAGGGATGGTACTTGTGGAGACAACCAATGAAAACCCTCAAAGTAGCTTCCACAGAATGCAACTGTCTCAGTGCTTCAAGGAGGGGTCCTTCACTAACACCAACGTGCTTTGTCAAGGTTCCTTTTGAATTCTTTTCATGCGCTATTAGATATAAATCTCGTCTGCTGCCCAAGACAGAGAAATTGTGTAGTTTGATAACTTTCGACATCATAAACTCCACTCTCAACATAGTGAGAAAACTGCTTCAACACCAACTTGCCCAATAACTTTGCTGTAATCTTTATAGAACTTCTCATTCTGCTCTATTCTTTATATCCAGGTCCTGAGATGTGCATTATAGTCTAAAGTGTATTCTTTCTCTCTTTCTCTACACACACACACACACACACACACACACATCTACCACCATTTAATTCTAAATCTCTTATAATTTCTTAATTCTCCATGAAACAGAAAGTATTCCAGTTAACTATCAGGAATGTCATGGGGATTAGCACCTCTCTTATTGGGTTAAGGGTGATTTGAGATGCAGGAGGTGATGCGTTAGAATCCCTTACATGCCATTTTCATAATAGCACAGGTCACAGCATGTGCATCTCTTGCATTTTCAGCCTGAAGGCTTAGATTGCAGGTAATGGAAAAGACCAATTCTTAAGATAATGGAAAACTGCAGACAATTTCCAATTAAAAAAAAAATCAAATAATTGAATTTTGCACAGAGGCAGCATCTTAAGTTCTAATATCTCTTGCCTCAGATTTCTTAGTATGAAAACTTATAATTAAACACTATCCTGCCTTCTGTCTTTTATGCAACACTACTTAGCAAGGATATTCTCAGTGGACAATCTGGAATGCATGGGGCTGGAACTCGTTAACATATCACTTCTTGCAGATCAGAGGCAAGAATCAAATCAAAAACACAATTTTAGCATATACAGGGTTGGTTCAGTGGATTTTTTAATCTCTCTACAGGACAGAAAGCAATGCCACAGACAAACAGGCAATATAGGGCACTGAATTCACAGAAATGCATCAGAAGAGTATAGATGCAACAGTCAAGAGCTGTGCCACCATCACAGCACCAGCCAGGGATATTGAATTAAACACACCGGCCAGATAGAATGAAGGGGATTCCAAGGAAAGTGACGACATACCAGCAACTCCCATTGAGTACTCAGACACACTGCCCTTTCCTTGTTGGCATGAACTACCTCAAGTGAAGGAGGGATTGGCAGAGAGAAGATCTTTCCTACTGTTGGCTGCTACATTACAAGTAAGATACTTCTGCCAAGTGGGACCTTTGCTGCGTGTCAATAGTGATGGCAACAGGAATTCTTGGCTGTTTTAGAGAATTTTCTGCAGTTTTAGAGCATTTTCCCAATGTGACATTTTGGGAAACTGTTTCTCCAAATTATAGGAAGCCCCTTTCTGAAAACTTGCATTCTTCATGGCACCAGGCCAATAAGAATCTAAAACTAGCACATTGTCCATGGGGCAGTCAGTACACAATTCTTCTACATAGTGTAGGATTTTTTTAAAAAACCCTGTGAAATAGGAATACATTCTGTCTGGCATTAGCCTGCACTCGCCCTCTACTT